TCTCCATGAGGTTCCAGAGGCGCCAACGTTGAGGACCATAGTAGCGCATGTGGTGGAAGAGCTGCTCATTCTCCTCAACCTCTGCCTGGGAGCGCAGCTCCCGCTGGACCTTCAACTGCTCGCTCAGCTCATCGCGGCGCTCCTCAAAGCAGATACGGCAACAGCGAGGCGTGTATTTGAGACGCACACCCCAGTAGCTCAGCTCCTCCAGGAAGCTACAGGGGCACAGCTCATCCCGCACGCGCAGCACCCCAGAGGCATAGAAATTGTACACCAGCTGGAAGACGGCTGGGTCCCGATCAAAGAAATACTCATCCACCTGGGCAGCGTAGTCATCGCAGAGGCCCAACTGGCAACTACGGTCAGTGGAGGTAGCCAGGCGGCCCAGGCGGGTCTTGGGATAGATGGCCACTGCCTGGTAGGTGAGGCGGTAGCTTTGGCCGCCAACATTGATATTCAGCATGGACGGAGCAGACACTGTGGCCGAGGCTCTAGAAGAAAGAGCAGGGGAACAAGGAATGAATGATGAGGGCTTGTTTTCTCCATTACATGCATCTTCACTTGGCCATTTTCCTTGTTCTTCATCTTCATCATCTTCATCATCCACATAGTAGTTGTAATTCCCGTCAGGTCCCAGTGAGAGTAGGGATTGGGTGTTCAAGGGAGCAGTAGCAGAAAAACCACTCTGCTTGTCTACATGCATGCCTTTGTTATCCTTCCCCTTGTTGGGTGGTGGGAGGATATTTGGTGCTTCCCTCTCTCTGCTTTTACATTTCAGAAAAGGAAGATCTTGCTGCATGTTAAGCTGCAACATGCTATATTATTCCTTACTCTTCTTGCTTCTTTGCATTCACCTGATCAAGCAACTAACACCAGACCTTTCCAACACTACACAGGCTGACAATCTGGTTTTCTTCTCTCTTTATCTCAGTAGTATCATGCACAGCAGTGGTTCTGCATTTTTCTTCCTGCCAGCTACCACTCCAGTTGTTGTGAAAGCTCTGTGTGGGATATAGACATATGAAGACTGCTGTTGACCGTTTTAATCTTGCTGACAGCAAAGATCTGAGTGCTTAGAGGAGGGGATTTAAGGGCTATTATCCTGTTCCAGCCTCATTTCCCTTAGGCTGTGACGTGAATGATTATGGATCCATAAATCTATGAAAAATCAGTGGGGGGGGGGGGACACTAAAGTTTTATTGTTAGTAAAACCCACACATTTCCCTAACTCAAGTATATAGGTGTTAAAAATAATTTCAAAATCAAAATGTATAAGAGGGAGGGAGAGAGAGAACATTGCAGATTTCTTTCATCCTCATGAGCATAGCATAGCTTGGTTTTCCTTAATGAAAATAATGAATAATTGATATGCAGATAATGGGTAGAAACTCACTAGAGTATCTCTTAAAATGTTTTCAAAAGGTGAGCAAATAAAAGTCAGCCCTTTTTATTCCCAGTTAGAATATCTCTATTCGGTTAAGAGCTGAGGAAGGTTGCAGACTGTGCCTGAAGCTTTGGCTGTGCTCTGGAAGCACAGGTCTCATGCTCCTCTGGACTCTGTGGAAGTGAAGGACAAGGGTGTTGAAGGGGCTTCCAGCTTCAAGCTCTTAATGACTTGCTGCGAAACAGAGTAGAGTGACTCCTTTCTCTTGCAGATCATGTTAGAGTAGCATAAAATTGCACTGGGTAACTAGCAGAACTGGAGAGATGCTTTCTCTGTTTTGATGGAGGTTTCATCCTCAGCTCTGGTTGAGCTGACACTGTCATCTACTGTAACAATGAACATCCTGAAAGCCGGGTTACTTCTGCTTGTCAGCGGGAGCACTTCAGCTGAGCTAGAGCTCTGGTACAGCAGAGGATACACACAACATTGATCTTATGGTCTTGAACTTGAAGACCCCAATACTGTTGTTCTGGTGGTGTCCTACATGAAGTAAGTGCTGTTCCTGTGAGAATAACCCCTCTTTTTTTCCCCATTTCCCTACCACCAGTTCTAGCTTTTATATTTACTAGCTCGTGACAAACTGGAAGACATGATAGCGGAGCATTTTGCAATACTTTTGTTCTCAGGTTGTATTCTAATCAGTGGATCACACTGTTCAAGGTTTTTTCGGGTCACACTGTTTAAGGCCTGGTTTATTTGCAATTCATTTAACTCTGCTTGAAAGTGTTTTACTTCATGAATTTGTCTCCACTGCTCATCCTCTTTCTTGCTGCAAAAAAGGCAATGCTCCTGTTAATAGGGTCTGTCAGTGCCCTTTTAGAGATACCAATCTGTTTTGCCATTTGCTTTGAACTTTAAACCATCATGAGTCTTTCGTACAGCAACCTTAATGCAAATTAATGTGCAATTTCAAGGCCGTTTCTCTCCCCTAAGCAAACTAATTCAGACATAAGAGAAAAAAGGTAGTCTGCAATGCCATCATTTTACTACAACAAATTGTTGAATATTTCTTAATCAAAATACAGTTTAGACTATAATCATATTCCTCTTACCAGCCTCTGCTGTAGCATTTAATTTTATTTTTTGTCAAGCTCCAGGTCTCACTTCTGAGAAGTATCCAGTAAGGCTTATTGCTCACTACTCATGAAATACTTTCTCACACCATACTGCAGTAGCAGGAGCTTCTACAGAGTGAACTTCATGATTGCCAGATACCAGTTCCTCTTGCACCTGGACTCAGACCTTGGACATCATTACTAAGCAAAGCAAGGAAAATTGCTGGCTTCGCTTCTACTCAAGCTAACCATATTGACCTAGATGTTCTTCGGAAAAGATCTCTCAGGGACCTGCTGCATTCTACTCGAACTTGCCTCTAACTGATAAAATAGGTAAAATAAAATTACTTTTTTTGTGTGTGTGTGGGTAAAATTAGATTCTGAGCTGCTAGATTCTCAGCCTAGACAGGTATGAAAATGAAGTGACCAGAAAAGACTCACTTTTTTCCCTTATCTACCTTATTCAGTGTGCTGCTTATCTTCATATATATCATTAGTAAGAATTGCACAGCATCTTCTTGTATGGGGAAGAGAAGGCTATGGGCTGCTGAAAGAGCTAATTAGTAAGGCACCTTGGAAATCTTATGTTTTTAAAGTTATTTGGGTCCAGAATTGCTGTTCACTTTGTAAGAGCTGTCTTTTAGGAGTGCAGGAGCAGACAATTTCAAAGTGTTGGCATTCAAGCCAGTGGGGCAGAAGGTTGGCTTTGCTGAGAAAGGATCTTCTTCTAGAATTTAGGTGGAGAAGGAAAGGGTATGGACATTGGAAGCAAGGACAGATTACATGGGAGGATGACAGAGATGCTGCTTGCCTGTGTAGAGAGAAAATTGGTGTGGCCAAAACTCAATCAGAGTTCAAGCTGGCCAGCACTGTCAATAGCAACAAAAAGGGCTTGCCTTTTAATTTTTTTTTTAATATTCTAACAGAAAAAGGAGGATCAGGGTAAACATTGCTCCATTTCTTGATGAGGTCAGTTATGTCAGAAATAGGAGTGTAGACACAGTAGAGAAGTTTAATGCCACCTTTGTCTCTGCCTTCAACACTGATGATGGGATCTGGGATCCTTGGAGCCCTCTGTAGGAAGACTGTCACTTCAGGAATGATAAACTCCTAGGTGACTCTGAAATTGATCTATAATATTTTTATAAATGATCTGGATGTAGGAGCCAAATGCACATTAGGTAAGTAAGTGTGTTAATGATACTGAAGCAGCAAGAGCTGCGGACTCTCTTGAGGGTAGAGAGGGCCTACAGAGAGACATGGGTAGACCTGGGCAACTACCAACCATATGAAATTAAACAAGATCAGTTGCAGGATTCTCCACCTGGGATGGGATAATCCTGGCTATACACACAAACTGGAGGACAAGAGGCTGGAGAACTGTGGGTTTGGGTTGGTGGCAAGTTGAGTTTGAGTCAACAGTGTACCCTGGCAGCCAGGAGGGCCATCCATGTCCCAGGGGACATGAGGCACAGCATCACCAACCAGGTAAAGGAGGTAATTGTCCTGCTCTGCCCTATGCTTGTGCAGTGTCACCTTCAGTGCTGTGCACAGATTTAGGCACCACAATATAAGGATATCAAATTATTAGAGTGTGTCCAGAGAACAGTAACCAATATGGTGAAAGAACTCAAGGGCAAGACTGAGGTCATTTGGTTTCCTCAGCTTGGAGAAGACAAGGCTGAGGTGACCTCAGGGCAGCCTACAACTTCCTCAAGCTGGGTGGTGGAGTGAGAGGTTCTGATCTCCTGTCTTTGGTGGCCAGTGATAGGACATGAGGAAATGGAATGGAGCTACATCAGGTCAAGTTCATACTGGATGTTAGGAAAAGGTTCTCCATGGAGATGGTGATCAGTGATTGAAACATGCTCCCCAGGGAAGTTGTCACAGCACCAAGGTTGTCAGAGTTCAAGAACAGTCTGGATGATGCTCTTAGTCATATGGTTTAGTTTCAGGTAGTCCTACGAGGATCAGGGAATTGGATTCATTGAGCCTTATGGGTCCCCTCCAACTTGAGATGTTGTATGATTTTATGATTCTATGCATTGAAGAAGAAATGTGAAACCCTAATCGTCAGTAACAGTGGAGAATGCTGTCCAATTGGCCAAGCAGTTCTCTGGATACCAGCTTCCTGAGAACAGGATTTTCACAAGAGAAAACTATAATTAAAATGGAAAACACACAAGAAGACGAGTCTTTGCAAATCTGCATTTTCTGGAGTGCTAGCTTTTCCCAGGAATAGGGGACTGTATAACTGCAATGCTCCTTCACTGAGAAAATCAGCTTCAGAATTGAGTATATGTGCTTTATCTTGGTTAAAGACTAACAGAACTTTTAAATTAAAATTACTAGAAAGAATTTATATGATCCTGTAAGGCCTCAGTGGATTAGTTCCTACCCCAGTAGAGTAACTTTTCACATATTAGTAGTTTTTTAATGTCAGGAAAGGCTTGTAAGGTCATCTGTTCTGACCTACTTCAACAATGACCCCAGAACTTCACTCAGAAATTTTGCCATTGTGCTAGAAAGTGTCTCTAACTTGAAATCAGCTCAGCTATCCACAGGGAATTGCACTGAAAAATACATGTTTCAAAGGGTCCAGACGGGCTTTTTCCTTAACCTCCAGTGACCTCTCAAGCTATGCTGACAATGTGGAAAATACTGCTAATGATGACTATTAATGATGTAATAGTTATTAATGTCCTGTTTGCCATATTAGGGCACCCAAAAAGTATAATAGGGCTGAAGGTAGACTGACTTGCTGCACTGTCTGCTAAAAGTGGGAGTGATGACTCAGCAAGTAGGAGAAATAAGATCCTGTTCTGTTTGCCTCTCCACATACCAGTTCTTTGTAATGAGAGTAAAGAAAAAAAATTTACAAATCCTGAGCTAGAACTTTGTCAAAATAGCAGATGTGCTTAGAGCTGAAGCAACCTTCACACTGTACTTTGTCTCCACCCAGCTCAGTTAGTTTCAAATGCAAGCAACAGTGAGCAAGAGGTTCCTTTCTGCTGTGTAATTTCAGGCATCTTTGCACCCTATCACCCTGGCAGACTTTGTCAGCCCTCAGAACGACATGCTGTTGCTGAACAAATCTTCCCTGCTCGTTGTTTTTTCTATTTCTGATTGTTTGGGTGTTTTCTCCCCACTTGCCAACTCTGGTGCTGCAGCCACCCAGAGGATGCTTAGAAAAGCCAGAGTGGGAAATGAGGATCATTGAGGGGTGGAATAATCATCATCACCCAGCTGCTCACATCTCTTCCTCCTTACAAGTAATAACTCATGTGCCTGTGCAATCCCCTGCCTTCGAGCACC